ACACCAGCAACAATAACAACCAATCCCTTCCAGCAGCAAAATAACCCTTATATATAGGAGAAGGGGGAAATGACCATAAATTGCTCACTTAATTATGTCATCTAAAAAGCCAATAGAAATATCTCAAGTTAGCCCATTTAATGAGTTAATGCACTTAGTATAAGAAACAACAAGATGAAACCGGACAACCAGCAGCAAGGAAAACGAGATAGTAGCATGGGGAAAAACAGCTAGCATATGGAAAGCCAACAACAGAGAAAATGGGACAGCAATATGGGGAAAAACAGCCAACGTAGGGAAATAGTTGGGCCAAGCACAATAAGCAAGACATCCCAAAATAAATACCTAACCACCAAAGAAGCTAAATCAATACGACTGGAAACCAAAGGAGTGAAACTTCCTAAAAACACCGAACCCAAGCATGATCTCAGGTTGTTTTCCATCATAAGGTATTGCAAATTTAAAAAAAAAAGTCCAAATTACAAAGAGTCCAAAACATAAAAAAATAAAGAAAACATATATTAGCAATTCTTGATTGCATCAGGAAGGAGGTAGGCTGGCGCGAGGGATTGGTACGACGTGAGGGCGTCAAACGCAGGCACTCGGTCGGGATTTGCTGAATCTCGAGGTGCGGTCAAATCCGGTGTGTGGAGGCGGGCTCGATTTAGAACAGTAGGAGGTAGACGATGTGAGGAGGCGGGATTAGGTGGTGACTGAATTGGGTAGTGCGGCCAGGTGTGGGTGTAGTCTGAGCAGAGGAAGAGAACAAGGTATGCAAGAAAAGAGTGCCAATTGTTCTGGTTTTTTTGTATTCTCTATCTTTTATAGATTGAATTAGTCAGTTACATTGAATAGATGCATTGCTTGGCGAAGTTGTGCCTTTGTTCACTCTGAAACTGCACCTTATTCTTTTTTTTTATTCAGTCAACACTTAGCCTATTGCCTCCACCGCAGCCACCATCGTCGTAGTCGTCGTTGGGGATCACTTGGAAGCCGCACACCATCACCTCATCCTACAAAAATTTTGGAGTATTACTCTCATCTTTATGTTAATAAAAAATATTTATAAAAGAAGATGATTGAACTAAAAGAAGAAATAAATTACGAGGCATATGACTGCACATGATGAGGTAAGGGATAGATCAATTTGTTCTGATGACATCAAAAAGAAACCTCAGTGATGACAGTGCAAATAATTTGAGTTGTTGTCAACTATTTCAGATTTCTTTAGGAATTAAATGTGGATGAGTATGAAACCGAGAGAAGGAATTTAGAATTGAACTTAATATTATTTGATACTTTTATACAAGTCTTATATTTTATGTTATTTTGCTCCTGTAATATTTGAATTTCAATTCTATTTTTCACACAATTTATCACTAGTTACTTTACTTATTGTGTAATTTTTTATTTCATATGTATGCTAATTTGTTACTTGATAGTATAATAAAAAATTAATATATTATCCTTTAACATATTATTTGAGTATTATATAAAAATCACTTTTAACCTTTTTCATTTTATGCAATTTTTTAATTTTAAGATTTATGCATCAAAATTCCTTTAGGTTTACACCTTATCTCACAAACGAAAAAAATGTCTGAATACCCAATTGCGCAATTTTAAACCTTGAGAGGAGGGTTATGTTGGTTAAGAAGATTGAATGCAAGAAGGCGGAGGGTGATTTGGTCTAGTATAAATATATAAGCATCTGCGCGTTGAGGCTTATGCCTCGTTGGGTTTGGCGGAGCGTGCGCTTCTTTCGCACGGGGCGTAGGCTTCGGTGTGTAACGTCTCGAAGAGAAGCGAGGCACCGCTTCGATTTCGATTTGTAAGTATATACACCGAGCGGCGAGAGTCGTATAAGAGTCGATTATTAGGGTAACATACTTGCTTCTGCTTCGGGTGAGAACTGAAAGGCGAACTTCGCCGACTTCGACGACCACAGTTCGGTCGAGTTTGAACATAGTTGGAGGCGTGCAAAGGTAATGATTTATTTCTTCTTTTTCTTCATTTTTTTTTGCTTCCCATAATCTTCTCGTCGTTTGCTTCATGTCTCGCTTCTTCATGAAGTTTCAAGCGAAGGTGCGAAGAAGGGATATGTTTACATGAAATGTAATTTCTGTGAGAAGCACATAACTAGTGGTGTCAAAAAGTTGAAGGATCATCTAGCCTACACTCATGTCAATGTGGGACCGTGTGCAAAAGTACCTAATGAAGTGAAAAAGGAATGCATAGATTACTTAAAGAAGTATGCCACCATGAAGGAGGTCACACAAAGAAATATGAAAGAGATGATAGAAAATTCTTCTTACTATGGATCACAGCATGAAGGTTCCAGTAGTGGAAGCCATCTAATTTCTTCTAATCGAGGCACTCGGGGGCCTATGGATAGATTTATAGTTAATATTGATGACGAGGAAAACATAAACACTCAGGATATTCCGCCTCCTACTTCTACAAAGAAACTCAGGAACATAGTTTATTTAGATATCGTCATATTCATCTATGAAAATGGGCTACCATTTAATGTTGTTAGGAGCCCGTCATGGATCAATATGTTACGATCTATTGTAAGCTATGGAAGAGGACTACAACTTCCAAGTATGTATGAGCTGAGAACTTGGATGCTGAATGAGGAGGTCAAGACAACTTCAACAATGATGGATGATGTTAAGAAAACTTGAATTGAGACAGGAGTGACAATAATATCAGATGGTTGGTAAGATATTCTACATAGAAGTATTATAAATTTATTGGTCAACAATTCATATGGAAGTATTTTTCTAAAATCAGTCTATGCTTCAAATTTTGTAAAGGATGCACAATTATTATTTGAAATGTTGGATGTCGTTGTGGAGGAAGTGAAAGATGCCTTAGTAGTTCAGGTTATTACTAATAATGCAAGTTCATACAAAGCTCCAGGGAGTATGTTAATGGAGAAGAGGCCTCACCTTTATTGGACTCATTGTGCTGCGCATTGCATTGATTTAATGCTTAAGAGGTTGGGATAGTTGCCTCAGCAAAAATCAGCCCTACTGAAGGCCAAATTCGTTAGTAAGTTCATATACAATCGTTCTTGGATACTCAGCTTGATGAGAAAATTCACAGACAAGGAAATTATTAAACTTGCTGTTACAAGATTTGCTAGTGCATATTTAACATTGCAGAAATTCAAGGAATTAAAGACAACCTTTGAAAGCTATGTTTGCTTCTAAATAATGGGATAAAAGTTCATAGGCCAAAAAACAAAAAAGGCAAACAAGTTAAATAGATTGTTATGAAAGATGATTCATTTTGACGCAGTACAAATTATGCTTTGAATAATACAAGACAATTAGTTAAGGTGCATAGAATGGTTGATGGTGAGAGGTCCCCGGCTATAAAATTTATTTATGAAGCAATGAATAGAGCTAAAAAAGACATTGTAAAAGATTTAGGAGGTCAAAAAAGAGCCTACAAAAAATATGGGATATTATAGATGAAAAATAGGATCATCAATTACACCAACACTTACATGCAGCTGCATACTATTTAAACCCTCAATTTCATTATGATAAGGACTTTCATGCTGATAAAGAGGTGAAAACTAGTTTGTATGCATATATGGATACTCATTTTTGAAGAAGACTACCTCAAAGTGAATGATCAACTTGAGGATTTTCATTTGAAAAAGAAAATGTTTGGATTTAGAGCAAGACAAGCATGCTACAAAATACGATCTCCTGATATGTTTATAGTTTGTATATTTATATTTTTAATTTTAATATTTATGTTTAAGTCTTCTACTTCAATCAATATTCATAAAATACTATTCATTTTTATGTAGAACATTTGTGGGCTTAGTTTGGAGATGATGTTCCTGAATTGAAAGATTTTGCAGTTAAAGTTCTTAGCCTAACATGTTCGGCTTCTGCATGCGAGTGCAATTGGAGTATCTTCAATAAAATTCATACAAATAGAAGAAATCAATTGACGGCAGATCGAATGAACAAACTAATTTATGTAATGTTTAACAAAAAACTGAAATATAAACATCTCAAATTGCAGAAGCAATGAAACATTGATAATGAAATTAACCCTTTATTTGCTGATGATTTACAATCTGATGATGAATGAGTTACTCCTAAGAATGATGATATTTTTGAAGTTGAAGTAGAAGAAGAAACTCATGTCAATGAAGACAATGAAGCAACTATCCAAGTATATAAAAAAAAGAAACAAAGTGAGATTGAAGCTTCAAAAAAATTCAAAAGTATTCTTGAATATAATGAATTATCTTTTATGTTATTATTTTTTCATCCTAGAGCTAATGAAATGTTAACTGATATAGGGGATAAAGGAAAAAATATTATAGAAGAAGAAGAGTTTGATGATGACTTCGACATTAATTATGAAGATTCTTCTAAAGACTCTTTTGAAGATAATCAAAGTGACGATGAGCCTGCATTGGGTCTTGATCCTAAGGGGATGTTTTATTTTTAAGTGTGTTTATTTTAAATCTTCTTTTTCAGTAATATTATCTTAGAACAAATTATCAAATTCATAATTGACATAATATTTTATTATTTTTTGTCATTATTCATAATTTTAAATTACTTTATTTTTATCATTTTGAGGCTTACGACTCGATCCGCCTCGAGGCTTACGCCTCGCCTCGCCTAGATAAAACGCCTCGCCTCGTCTCGCCTCGCCAAGATAAAACGCCTCAATTACGCCTCACCTTATACATATGGTTTTTAGATGATTCAAAGTGATCGATTTTAGCAAGTGCAATTGCAAACAAGAGCGCATCAAAGAAATTTACAGGAGGCATCTAAAAACCATAAAATATACAAGGCGCTAAAAAGTATGCGTATCTCACTAGAAGCGGGTAAAAATGAGCTTAACAGTACAGCAAATAAATCAATGAAATAAGTTCATTCTAATGTAAAATAACTTCATACTCAAACAAATAAAAACAGGTTTGAAATAAAGAAATATGCTATTTAACAACATACATCAACTAGGAAGTGAAGACATCTGTAAATTGTTCTCAAAGGTTCCATCAGATATTTCCTGAGCATCTACAGAGCTCCTCAAGCGCTCCAAAGAAGTTGCTTCAAAAATGCCTAGAAATTGCCAACTTTGATAGTTTCAGAATCACTAAAGTAGAATAACGATGATATAGGATTACTGCGTTTAACAAGTGCAAGAAAAAAGCATGTGATTAAATATAAGAAAATTCAAAAGGTTTTCTTTTTTGCAGTAGTACCAAGATTGAGAAAATAAGAAAAGCATATTTCCTTCAATAAAGATTTCATCAGGTTAACGTAAGAGAAACAACTATTCAAAAATTTCAATGAATCAGAAAATAATAAATTAAATTTATAAAACGAATGATATCTCCTTTCTTCAACAATTTGGCAATAGAATCGGTAAAGGCATAAAGGCAAATGCTTATTTTTAACATTTAGCAAATTAGAATGTGAGTTAGAATAAAGAAGAGTGTGATAATGATTATACCGAATGCAAGCACCGAAGAGCATATCAGAAAACCCAACAGAGAGAAATCCATTTTGTATGTCATCTCCATGACGATTATGCAGCCTGTAGCAACCATTAAATGCCTTGGAGAGGAGAAAACAAGACGCAATCTGAAAATAGGTAAAAAGAATCGTAAGGAAACCACGTACACACAAGGATCTATAACACATGATACAAAAAATTAGAGTGCTAAACTTCAAGACCAAAATAAGATAATCCCTCAATATCTGCAAATTTCCAATCAACATGTCCCAACATATAACATGTACTGATAGTAATTATACGGCTCAAAATTGGATTTGATGATTGATGCAGATATCCATATTAGATCCCTTTAGCCCCAAACACCCACTAACAGACATATCAGGCTGATAGTGAATTGAGTTTGAGCAAGATTACCAAAACTCAAATTTGAAATAGTAAAGTTTAGCTCAATTCAATTCAATTTATTTCAACTATCAGGATTGATTTATAATCAACTCGGAATTAAATTAAAAATAAACATTGGATGGGGGATTAGATAAACAATTGCAAGTATTTCAAGAATCAATGGAAAAACTAGCAGTTTGTTACTATGTAATACCAATAAAAAATTTTGAGAATAGCTCCTGCCTGATTAGATTTAATTTTAAGTAAGTGGCCTTAAACTACAAATTGAATTGAAATGGAATTCAAGCGATGTAAAAAGAAGAATGATTCAATGACAATTTGATGAAGGGCCCTTGGCCTGTTGATGATGATGTCCTTCTTGATTTTTTCTTTTCTTGAACTCAATCCTCCATATATATGATTGAAGAAATTATGAGATTTAGGATCCAAAATTGTATATTCTGTAGAAGAGAGGAATCATTCCCACCTTGAAAATTGTGCTACTTTGTATCATGAAAAAAGATAGAACATCGCAAACAAGATTAGAGAGAAGATTGTAAGAGCTAGAGAAGAAGGACGGGGGTGAGGAGAAACCCAATGGAAAAAGAGAAAAGAAAGATGAGAGAATAATGGAAGGAATCTTTTTCAAATTCAACTCTTAATTCATAAGTGAAAAGCACCAAATTGGTCCCCTAATTTTTTGAAAGGCCAACATAATGTCTAACTATATAAAACTACCAATCTGGTTCGTTGGTCTTTAAATAAGAGTCAAATTAGTCCTTCAATGGAATCATTTTGGTCCCTAAAAAAAAATCAAGGGACTAAAATGGAACCTTTAAATATCAAGGATCATTTTGGTCATTCGTAAAGAGTCAAAGGATCATTTTGATCCTTATCTCTAATTCATAATCAAAATGATAGCCATTTGATCCTCAAGTATCTCAATATTCCCAATTTCTTCAAATTTTTTAAATATTAAAGAATGTTTCAAGGTGTATTAGATGTTTTTAGAAGATTCCCATATTTTCCACAAATTTCCTAAGAGGTTGTAGATAATTTGATCAAGATCAACTACAGCTCAAACCAGAGAAAGGAGGGGTCAGTTAAGCATGGAAGATCAAAATTCAATGTGTAAAAACGGAGACAAACAAAGTGAAGCTAGCAAAAAACTAGTAACTAAATCTGATCCAAAACAGTCGCAAAACAAGCGAAAGAGTATTTCAGGGATTTACTTGAATTCGTTATCTATAGGAATTTCCCTATATTTCCGTACACATTTCCAGAGTTTGAGAGTTGGTTACTTTTATAGCAGTTCCTATTTTCTGGCTTACTTGAATTTGAATGAAATTTCTAGCTAAATCCTAGTTTTCTATCTATAGGGATTAGCGGAAATTTGTTTTTCAAGTTAAATTTGAATGAAACATTAATTCCAATTCTCAAAAATCTCCTCCCATACTAGTTGTCTCTGTCTCCTTCTCACTCTACAGTCTGAAGGGCAGCAAGGAACTCTCAGCCTTCTTTATTCTCATTGTATACAGTCAAATATCATCTCCTGCAGCAAAAACTCAACCATTACGCAGCTCTCTAGCTGGCTTCAATGATTGATCACCAGCTGTTGTCTTCTCCATTGTGCCAAAAAATAGAACAATTACGCAATGTTTAAGGCAAACATTAGAGAAGAACTGAGGTAAAAACAACAAATATAGCGAGCTGAAACCAAAGAAGTTCATATTGAAGGAGAAGCCAATGGAGAAAATTTTTAAGGAGATACAACCTTCATTATGGTAACATCCTTTCAACCTGTTTCCTAAATTAACATCAATTCTCAATGTATCGTTGATCCCATGAGCTCACATATTGATGGCTGATTTTGATGATAAATAAATGTGTGTAAGTTGCTAATGGTTACTTCAAGAATTGTGCAGGGATCAATCATACAAATCCAAACAGTTCACTAGGACCTTTGTGAACCAATTGAAGAATAACAAATACATGAGATGAACTGGATTGGTGCTGCAAGTCCTAATTTTAGTTTAGTTTGAGTGTGTCTATGTTGTAATGGAAATTAGATTGCCAAAGTTTAACTCAAAGAGCATGAATGATGAATACCATTAAAGACCTAATTAAAGCTTGTATTTACTTGTAAATATTTAAAATATAATTTAAAACATGTATTAATACTAAATTTTACTTTAAGAGTGTGTTCGGGATAGTTTTCTCACTATTTTGCTTTTCAAACCATTGCAACCCTTTTGTTTGGCAACTTCTTTCCATCGATTTGCCAAAAATTTATAAAGTAGAAAGATGCTTTTACAATCAAATTTGTTAGTATGTAGTAACTATAAGAAAGGTTTTATTCAACTTTTTCAAAATTTTTAAAAATTATAATACCCACAAAAACTTTGAAAGAAGTTATTATCCATACAATAGTTTTATATCCACCTTTACAAAAAGCTACAGTTACCTCAAAAGAATCTTAAGTTTCAATTGGAATAATGTATAACATCCATTTTTACCATACTAAAAATAGGGTCGATGGGCCCACATGGTGCGTCAACAAGACCATATGGAGAATAGGAATTGCGTTGCCATTTCTCAAGAAATTCAAGGGACCCTGTCAGATCCACAATAGAATCTTGTGGCTCCGGTGAAATGCATGAAATGGCTCTCTTGATTTTACTTGATATTTGTGGATCCAATTGAGGGGAATTAATAAATGTTTAATTCCTATAGCAAGTCAAAAAATACCGATTAAAATACAGCTGTAAGAAGTTAATCTTCTGTACACAAAAGCCATACCAAAGTAATCAAGGTGTTCAAATTAAAGGTGTTCTCAAAGCTTATTTCTACAATTCTAATATAATCTCCAAGACTTGGAGAGTGTTCCACCTATTAAGAAGGTCTATTTGTAATGGGGTTTTACTTGCCCTCAAAGGCAGTACGTCGCGTAATTTCTCCACCAGCTGTGGAAATGAAGCACAGATTTGGTAGTGGAATCCTAGTATGTAGGCAGTTAGACGAAAATAAGTAAAATCTATGTTCTTCGCTACATATTTTATTACTTGCACATTTCAATTTATTTGCACAATATTCTTTGCTCATGCTGCGCACTTTTTCCAATGCATGGTTATGTGTAGTTGAGTCTGTGTGTGCATGTGCACAGGTGTATGTGAGTAATTTAGATTTTTTTTATTAGTATGACCTAAAATATTAACCAGCCAAAAAATCTGGATGAATAGCATTTCAACAAAAGCATGAATGATTAGAGTAGGAATACACTTGGCCATCAGTTAAAAAGCAGGATCATCCTGCTAATAATTTTATTGATAGTTCATGCACATAGCAAAATGTAATAAAGATCATATTAAAAATGTTGTAAAGTTAAATAAGATAAATATATAATCAAAGCATATAACAGTTTACCTCACCTTTCCTCAGCTAAATTGTCAATGTAAAATATAAACACAATTCCAAAAAAGATTGTGCTCAAGTATGCCCAACTCATAAACTGTAAGTTGGCAATGCTGTTGGACTCTGACCCCTGTATTTGATCAATTAAAATTCCCATAAATGGCCTAAGACTAAAAAAAAAGTAAAATTAAGCAAATAATAGAATGTAAGATACATGTGCATTTACAAGCAGAAAAAAAATATAGGACTCACTAAGATTGTATCCCACATGGCCAGAGGAAAAAGAAAACAGGCAGCCGAAGCAACAGTAATTGCATGGAGTCGCCTTTTAAGCTGATTCTATTTATTTTCAAGGAAAATAATTAGGAGTTATGCATTGGTACATGCAAAAGAATGGAAAAACTTTGATCTTAAGCCAAGAAAATCTAAAAACTACAAAAGAATTCATACCTTGAGTGAAACACGGCGTGCCATCACTCTTCTCAAAGCTGACAAGACACCAGCCAAGATGGGCACTGCAATTTCTTTGAATCCTAAGGATTGCTTAGCTTTATGCACTCGCTCTGAACTAATGCTATCTATGAATATCAAGTCCAGTACACTTTATTATTGGAAAACAAAAATTGCTCATATGAAACACAGCAGAAAAAATAACAGTTTCCATTTACAACAAGACTTTACTCATTCGCTAGGAGACGTGTGAAAAATAAAACAACCAAATATTTCACAATTTATTGGATACGGAATGGTGAATAACTGCTTGTTGCCCAACCAATAGATAAGAAATAAAATGACGCTGACATTGCAAAAAGTCCACCCACCTATATAAGATAAAACCAAGTATCTTTTATTAGATCAAAAAAAATCTAAAAGGAACCCAAACAATAAAATTAGCAACTGCTAAAAATTCATCTTACAATTTTTACAACATCCGTTAAGCAAAAGACCAATGCTACTTACAAGAATATTTAAAAAGTAAAAGAAAAGGATGCCTGTCATGCTTAGCCAAAAAATAACCACACGGTACACAGAAGCGTAGACAATTTTGAGAATTGAATCCCAAGAAAGTCTTCATTTGGCCAAATAAAGAAGTCAATGAATACTAAACAGCAGAAGCATTATAATTTATATTTATGAAATGTGTAGTGATGCAAAAATCTTCAGTCCACTATATCAACAAGATATTCGTCTTACACTCACAATAAAAAATATGGCTTCTTCAAACAATTTTGAAAAAGCAGTGAAATCACATTAGTAGCCATGCCAAAAATCTCACTGCTCTTGACAAGATAAGGATTGATTAGTAGCCATGCCACCCACCCCATTGTCGTTGTTGGGTTTATGCTGAATTAATTTGACTTCAAACCACATAGAAAAAAGTAATCTCTCGTATTTGTAATGTACTCAACCAAATAACTCAAAAATATTTGAAAACACTATATTAATTTTATGTTATATTCATTTCTCTACATTCTTTTTCGGCAAATCAAATAGTAACTGAGAGGAGAACATGACAGATATGCAGGCTAAGAAATCAACGTTATGTTAAATCAAATAGTACCTTCTTCCAAATGTTGACTCTCCTTCCATAGAATAATGCAGATAAAACTCCAAGAACAGCACCTGCATACTCTGTCAAGAGTGTACTAAAAAAGAGTAAATAAAAAAACTCAGTAAATAGAATAGATGAAGAAATTTTAAAGCAAAAAAAGGTTAGGAAAGGGAGAGTTGGGTTGGAGAAGTGACGAGATACTAATGATGTTCATGAACTTGGTTGCAACAATTTAGGGTATTATAATAAGGTCCATTAGGGTCGACATCAAGTTGAGTGCAAACGAAGTCCAGCACAACTACAACAACATCAAGCCTTTATCCCACTACGTGGGGTCGGCTACATGAATCCTTTTTCTCCATTGTGTCCTATTAAAAGTCAAATTCTCATTTAAATCTAATAAAGAAAGGTCATTCCTAATATTTTCTAACCAAGTCTTTTTAGGTCTACCCCTACTTTCTTAACACAAGTCAAATCTAATACTTCTACTCTCCTAACCGGGTCATCGGAAGGCCGCCTTTTTATGTGACCAAACCATCTAAGGCGACTCTCTCTAATCTGATCTTCTACTGGAGCTACTCCAACCCTTTCACGTATATGCTCAATTCGAAGTCCAGCACAACTCAAAATAAAAAATTTCAATTTTTAGTTGGGTCAAAATTGATGAAGATGAGAAATATTAACTCTTGAGCAATTTCTCCTTTATTAACTCTTGAGCAATTTCTCCTTCTGCTTCCATGAAGGTACATGAAAATAGAGTATGCTTAGATATTACAAGATATTTATATGAGAATAAGATTCCATTTAATGTGGCTAGGAATCCTTCATGGATCAACATGCTTTGATTTATTTAGATTATGGTCAAAGATTAGATCTTCCTAGCATGCATGAGCTACTAACTTGGATGTTTGATGAGAGGTTATAAGAAAAACAAGAATGGTTAATAAAAATTGGTTTAGCTGTACAAACCCTGATAATTAGTTAAAATATAAAGATGCCTGTAAGAAGTCTAAGAAAGCAATTTGCAATTCAAAATTTTAGCTTTTAAAGATTTATATAATATATTAGATAAAAAGGAGGATGAAAGATATATATATATATATATATATATATATAGGAGTAGTAAGGATTTAGTTCAAGTGAAGTGTATTAAGGATGAAGATCAAAAAGTGTTTTTATTAGAAAATTATATTCAATAAAGGTGAATGAGATATTTGCAAAACTTTTTAATAAAGATTATGAGAATGCAATTGACTTTAGTGACCTCAGCACCCTAAATGAAAATAAAGAATTTTATTTTTATCGGCGTATTAGTAAAATCGAAGTTAAAGAGGCTTTAAAGAAAATAAAGTGTGGACAAGCTGTTGGACCTAATGATATTCCAATAGAGGATTGGAAATGCTTAGGAAATGAAATTTATTGACTTACTAAACTTTTTAATATTAATTTGAACACTAAAAAGATGTCAGATGAGTGGAAAATGAATGTGTTGATTCCTATTTTTAAAAATAAAGGTGATGCACAGGATTGTGCGAATTATAGAGGAATTAAGTTGATGTGTCATACTTTAAAACTATGTGAGAGAGTTATGGAGCATAGGTTATGGCGTGACACTAGTGTTTCTCAAAATCAATTTGGACTCATGCCAGGTAGGTCTACTATGAAAGTTATACTTTATTGAGAGGTTTGACGGAGAAGTATAGAGAGAATAAGGAGGATAGACATATGATTTTTATTGATTTAGAGAAAGCATATGATAAAATTAGAGAGTAGCTCCAGTGGAAGATAAGATTAGAGAGAGTCGCCTTAGATGGTTTGGTCACATAAAATAGCAGCCTTCCGATGACCCGGTTAGGAAAGTAAATGTATCGATTTGACTTATGTTAAGAAATATAGAGGTAGACCTAAAAAGACTTGGTTAAAAAATATTAGAAATGATCTTTCTTTATTAGATTTAAATGATGATTTAACCTTTAGCAGTGCACAATGGAGAAAAAAAATTCATGTAGCCAACCCCACATAGTGGGGTAAAGGCTTGATGTTACTGTTATTGTTGTTGTAGATAAAGCATATGATAAAGTTCCAAGAGAAGTGTTATAGAGAGTTCTACATAAGAAAGGAGTTAATAATACTTATACTAAAGTAATTAAGGATATGTATGCAGGAGTAGTTATTTGTGATCAAACACAAGGTGGTTTGACCAAGTATTTTCCTATTTCAGTTGGATTACATCAAGGATCAGCCTTAAGCCCATTTCTTTTTTGCTTTAGTCATGGATGTTCTCACTAGACATTTGCAAGAGGTTGCACCCTAGTGTATGATTTTTGCTGATGATATTCTTCTTGTTGATAAGACTAGAGAGGGAGTTGAAGGTAAACATGAATTATGGAGATCAACCTTAGAGTCTTAAGGCTTTTGTTTGAGTAGATCTAAAACTGAATATATAGAGTGTAATTTTATTAATGATAAATCTGATGGGGGAATTGTGACTTTGGGCGATTAAGTCATTAATAAAAGCACAAGTTTTACATATCATAGGTCTATTGTTCAAAGTGATGGTGAAATAGATGGGGATATTATTAGTAGAATTCAAGTTGGATGGTCGAAGTGGAGGAATGTATCGGGCTTGTTATGTGAAGTCCCTCCCAAACTTAAGGGAAAATTCTATAAGATGGTAGTGAGACCTGATATGCTTTATAGTGTAGAATGTTGGTCATTAAAAGAGAAGCATAATATTAAGTTAAGTGTTGCATAGATGAGGATGCACAGGTGGATGAGTGGCTTTACATTTAGAGACGGAATATGAAATGAACATATATGTTAAAAGGTTGGGGTAGCTCCAATGGAAGATAAGATTAGAGAGTCGCCTTAGATGGTTTGGTCACATAAAACGGCGGCCTTCCGATGACCCAGTTAGGAAAGTAGATGCATTAGATTTAACTTATGTTAAGAAAGGTAGAGGTAGACCTAAAAAGACTTGGTTATAACATATTAGAAATAACCATTCTTTATTAGATTTAGATGAGAATTTGACTCTCAACAGGACACAAAGAAGAAAAAAATATAGTCAATCCCACATAGTAGGATAAAGGCTTGTTGTTGTTGTTGTACTTGCTAAAGTTCTTAAACTTGTTTTTCAAACTTATCCAAAGGCCTATAACATACACATTGATAGGATATGACATTTCTAATATGAGCCGATGCACTTACATAAGTGGACCACAAGACAAAAGACCTTTTCCCCATAAGATCAAGAATAGTGCCATTATTGCTCCATTTATGATAGTAGGTACAATCTAAACGAAATAACACTGCTTTAGAATTTACTTGATTGCAAATATAGATTGTATACAAATACAGAAAGGAATTACATGGAAGTAAATGGCCCATACAGACCTGTGAATTCGGTAATGGCCTCCCCTTCCAGGGCTTTTGCAACAAAAAAAATATGATAGAAGCTGGAACCAAACAACTGAATATAAAGAGTATAACAGAATCTCCTTTTTGGGAAAGGTGGTGGTATAAAGCATAAACAGACCATATTCTCATGAAGTTTCCGAGTACATGTATTACTTGCAATGGAGTCTGCCTGCAAGAGAAGAATTTGATTGAACATTATACAGTAGTTGATGGAAAACGTATCATTCTAGGGCTTCTACAATGCACAAAAAAAGAAGTTATTATAAAACGTCAAATGTGAAAAAATAAATAATCTCTGGAATTTCTAAAGAGAATGTAAAGCAACCTAATGCAAATTGGATGCACAAATTAGTATGCAAAATACTTTAAAAGTCCTAAGTTAAACTCTTAATATTTCCGCACCTATGAAATTTTGTCCTATAGCTTTAATAGCAAACTCCACTAATGTCAGCTACAAAAATTGAAATAATGATGTGCGATGATGATTTAAGCTATTGAAAGAAGTGGAGTAAGTGAAACTATTTAATTCCTCATGTAAGTAGCGAAGAGCAGAAAAGAAAGAAGTGGAAGAAGGAGAAAGAAGGGGAAATGTAAGAGTGTGTTATTTTGTATATAGAGATGTATTTTATGCAAATGAGTATTGTGTAAAGTGTTAATTTAAATTTATCTAATTTTTGTCTAGTAACTGCTTTAGTATATAGTATATAGGGAGGAAATTTAAGGATTTTCATTGTGTATGATGTGATAGAATTATAAGGTATTTAGTTGAAAATTAATTATTTCGATAAAAAAGGAATATAAATTCAAGCTACTTGAGTTGGTGTAGGTACCTTATACATGCAAGCGGGAGCGAGATGTCCGAATTGGAGAGTCTGCACGCCGAGGAGTTAAGATATGCATTTTTAGTACAAAATGAAAGTTGATTGAGTGTTTTGGGGATATATTATACTCTTTTCGGGTGGGGATTAGCCAAAATTATGATCCATGCAACAATTCCGCTTGTAATTTCCTGAAACAATAATTTTGTTATATGATGCTGCTATGTACAAATCTATCATTCAGTCACACCTAATTATATATTGATACACCTGACAGCTATATCAATTTGCATGCATATGCATGTTTATATAGATAGGCAAGTGTCATATAACATAGAAGGAAAAAAGCAATGATCAGAAAAGTCTAAGAATTTGTCATGTTTGGTGATAGATGGGTGGGGCAATGCGAACCTGACGGGTAGTACGACTTAGTAGAGGCAATGCGACCTTAGTATAATATGAAGTCTACGGGCAATAAAGATAGTGCGACCTCAAATGTCTACGGGTTGTAGACTTAGACATAAACATTTAGACATGACACCTTCTAAAGATGAAAAGAGAATTCTGGGATGAACTGAAATCTATTTCTAATTACCTATAGTAATATATGATGTACAGTTTGGAAAATAATTGACAATGTGAGATTTACTGGTAGTTTAGTATTTTCATGTTAAATGCCACTAACCTAATGTAATGATATTAACATAATATTCTACATAACTCTCATAAAAAAATTAAAAAAAAAAATCTGCATAACTCTCATGTGTAGTAGTATTTTCACTTGTTACATTGTAACATATTGTGCACCATTCCTATTAAAAGATTACATATAGCTTTATTTTCTTACATTTGCTTGTCGAAATGAAAATGAGCATGATTTTAACAACCGGACTAGACCGGCCAGTTCAATCGTGAACCGATCTGGCAGCCGATTTGATTCTACTAGTGAAACTGTTCTGTAATCGAACTGGGGAAAACTAGCGGAATTGCCAGTTGAACCGGGAAACCGACGGACCGACCAATTTCGAAAGAACCGCCCTGTTCATACTGCTGTGATAATGAGCCCTTGATGGCAAATCTAATGATTAAAATTACACTTCGTAAACCAAATTAGTAAAACGAAAGCAATAAAACAAATCCATCGCATGATTTTCCTCTGAGTTTCCTCTCCCAGAACACGAACTCGTGAAGCATACCTCTCCCAGCTCTCCGTCTTACTCTCTGTCCTCGGCATTTCAAAGCCGTTTCTACTTTCATAACCATGTAATTTACAATAGGCGATATTAATCATCATGTGGATAGTAACAATAGCTGCCATGGGCAGGAACCTCTACTGAAATTTGAATTTCAAAAAGCATGCAACCTACTAGATCGTATGGTATGATCCAAGCAAACTTATCATGTTAGGCTTGTTACAATATAACATCAAGATAGAGATGTGGCTTTTGAGTCATAATGTTTGCAATTCTTTGCATAGCTAAGATGCCCTTAACATGCGCTATGCTCCATGAGTTGCACCGTACATTCAACCTCAACCATTGAATAAATTAACATCTTCTCATAGAATACCAAATTTTACATCATAAGGTAAAACCAATGGAACTTACCTTGCAATGCGAGTTAGCATATAGTAGACTTTACAGATGATATTAAACGCAAGATACTAATTTACAACTCTAGCAAAAACTTTACAAACTCCAACTAGCTCAAATTCACGTCAAAATATGGAAGACCAACAAAAAACAAACTATAGACTTAGAGCTTAGCTCGCTAGTTTGCTCTGGGAAAAAAGTAATAAACCGACTGGTTATTGCATTCAAAGTATGCAGGTTAATAGCATTTATGGTTTGATGACAAATTAGTTTACACAACATTTACAACAAATGAATTTCCAAATCCATAGGTGTACTTCTATTCAACAATAGTTTTTGAATTATAGAAATATTAATTTTCATTTATCCCATCCTCCTTTAGACATTTAAATGTGTAAATCTAGGGTTTCAAAGGAACTCTAAACTATCATGTATCCAAACGGAATGCCTAAATTTTATGGCACTTATACTTAGAGTCTGACCGCCAGAAAAAGGGACATGCACCAAACAAGCGCTCAGAGGAGACAAAATAATCAGACAACTTCAAATTTTAAAAACCTTGCCAACGCCCACAGATTTCTTCGGCTAACAATAAATGTAACTCTATCAGGCTCACATGTTTCTATCCCGATCTAGCACTCTTCCAGAATGATTAGGATTTCAAAAAGCATAATGATTCAACAGTTCGGAATTCTACATTTCAGCATTCCACGGGGTCAAAAACGAGAAAGAAGGGTCATGAAATGAAAGTTTTACCTAATGGAAGAAGAACGAGTGAGTCGTGAATCAGAAGCGGGTTCTTTTGGGGACATCATCTTCCACTTTTGCGTTCCGTCTCCCTCTCGCCCTAGAGTGTGCTCTTGCATTCCTGGTCCGAAGTGTATTTCTTTTAAGACCGCAAGATTTTTGAAATCGCTATTAGCCTACTCATTTTTTTATGTTTTTTAAAAAGAAAATCTTGCAAGGTAAATATTTAGAACTTCTATAGATAAAATCTTTTATGCATGTTGAAAAACAAAAGAGAAAAACATGTGATGAAGATATAGATTAATTTGAAAGACTTTGCATTCATTACAGAGTCGTTGAAAAAAAGAAAGAACTTAAGAGTAAGGTATATTTTACTTACCAAATAATTTCTTTTCAATATATATTATGAAGTAACATACGTTTTGCTAAACTTAGTTTTTCAATAGAAAAATCTGTTGTAAAGGCAAATACAACAAAACTGTGTTCACCTTCAAGACATATCAAGTTCTCAAACAAACCCAAATACTTCAACGAGAAGTTTATAAACCGAGCAGCAATGGTTTATGTATTTTTTGTGATGTTCCACACACATTTATGTAGAATGTATTCTTCAAAAATCTATATGTCAAATGCCACATAATTTACAAGCTTATGTAAATCAACTATGTAAATTTTATATAAAATAATAATTTGTTTTACGTTCATTATTCTCTCAGATGTAATTATGATGCATTTTTCTCTTTCGTTTATATGATAATTTATTCATTTTGATATTGTGTAGCACTGTGTATCGCTATGTACCACTATATATCACTGTGTACTGTTGTATATCATTGTGTACTGCTGTGTAAATGCACTAATATGTTCATTTTGATGTTCCACACACATTTACTTAGAATGTATTCTTCTATATGTCGAATGCCGCAAAAATACAAGCTTCTGTAAATCAACTATGTAAATTTTATATAAAATGATAATTTTTTTACTTTCATTTATTCTCTTAGATGTAATTGTTATGCATTTTTCTCTTTCGTTTATATGATGTTTTATTCATTTTGATATTGTGTACCACTGTGTACTGCTATGTACCATTACATATCGTTGTGTACCGCTGTATACCGTTGTGTACTGCTGTGTAAATGCACTATGTATTATTAGGTATTAATGTGTATTCAAGCCTACATGAATCCACATAAATATTGTATTTATTCATTTGAAAGCTTTTTGAACTTTTGCACAACTGTGTATTAAAGAAATTATGTTGACAAATATATATATATTTTTTTGCTAAAATGTATTATATATTGTTAAGTTTTGTTGTGTATTCAAGCTTATATGAATATATAAATATTGTATTTATTCATTTGAAAGCTTTTTGAGCTTTTACATAGTTATGTATTAGAAAAATTATATTGAAAAATATATTTTTTTGCTAAAACGCACTATGTATTGCTAGGTATTGTTGTGTATTAAAGCTTGTATGAATCCACAAACATTGTCATTATTCATTTGAAAGTTTTTTGAGCTTTTACACACTTATATATTAGAGAAATAATGTTAAAAAATTAATTTTTGGTTAAAACTTACTATGTATTGATGTGGTAATTTTGTACCGTTGTTGTGCATCGTTGTGTATCATTGTGTACCTCTATGTACCATTGTGTACTATTGTATACTACTTTGTAAAATGCACTATATATTATTAGGCATTGATGTGTATTCAAGCTTATATGAATCCATTAATATTGTATGTATTTATTTGAAAGCTTTTTAAGCTTTTATATAACTATGTATTAGATAAATTAATTATCTTGGAAAATACAATTTTCTTGCTAGAATGGATGTGTTAAAGCCGTGTAATATACAATTTTCTTGTTAAAATAGTTATGTAATATATATTTATTTTTTTTTGCTAAAATGCATTTTCAACATAATTTCTCTTATACACAGCTATGTAAAAGCTAAAAAAACTTTGAAATGAATAAATATATAAGCTTGAATACACAGCAATACATAATGCGTTTTAGCAAGAAAGATGTATTTTTCTACATAATTTTTCTAATACATAGCTATATAAAAGCTCAAAAAGCTTTCAAATGAATACATACAATATTAGTGGATTCATATAAACTTGAATACACATCAATACATATCAATATCTAGCAATGCATAGTACATTTTACACGACAGTAAATAGGGGTACACAGCGGTATACAACATCAAAATAAACAAAACATCACATAAATGAAAGAAAAAATGCATAATAATTATATCTGAGAGAATAAATGAATGTCAACAAAATTTTCATTTTACATAAAATTTTATATAGTTGATTTACAGAGGTATTTGTTTTGTGGCATTCGACAAATAAATTTTTAAGAATACATTCTAAATGAAAGTGTGTGAAACATCACAATAAACACATAAATTATTGCTGCCTAATTTATAAATTCCTCATTGAAGTATTTGGGCTTATTTTAAAACTTGATATGCCTTGAAGGTGAACACAGTTCTGTTGTATTTGCCTTTATGACAGATTTCACAATTGAAAATTAAGCTCAGCAAAATATATATTACAAAATAATATACATTGAAAACAAATTATTAAATAAGTAAAATACACCTTACTCTTAAGCTTTTTCTTCTTTCCAATGGCTCTGCAGAGAATGTGAAATCCTCCAAACAAATCTCCTTCTTCATCATCTATTTTTCATTTTTTTCTCAATAGTCATGAAAAATTTTATTATGCAAAAGCCCTAAATATTTGAGAGCTTTCATGGGTCTCTTTTTTAAAAACATAAAAAATGAGTGGGTTGTCACTATTTCAAAAATTTTATAGCTGGGCTGGGTAGGGTTGTCAGGTCTTAAAAAATTCATGTGTCCTAGTTTAAATGGAGTCCGGACATAGAGTTACATCCAGAGCCTACACATAATAATTTCCCCCATGACTGAGGGGATGTTCAACAACAATTGGGATTTAACTTTAGTAGAATTTAGTAAATTCATTAAATCCAAATTTAATAACTCCTAAGGGTGTTAAATCCTAAAAACTGCTTTGTACGTCAAATGATAAATCTTATTAAATCCTAAGAAACTACTTGGTAACATATTTCAAGATTTATGGCAGCTAAGGATTTAAATTTGAAGGAGATAATGATAAATATTCAAGATAATTACATAAAACATAACAAACCTAACTTGTGTTCATACAAGATTATTGAAAATTCAATAAAGAGCAAATGACAAATTAATATTGACCAAAACACATATGAGCTATTAAATAAGAGCAATCATCATTTTTCCTGTTGACTTCATATATTTGTATGTGGAGATAAATTTTATCACGCGATCGATTTCTTTGACTTGCAATCTTAAATAAAGAAATGAAGAAATTATTATAAAATGTAATGTAGTTAGAAGTATACAACACAAAACAAAATTCTTACATGAGCATTCTATAAATCAATGGTGATATTGTGCTTATAGCTTCAACTTGAATTCTTTCTTCTATTATCACATGCAAATTGGGATCATCATCAAACATTTAAACTTTGCCACCTTGAGCATCATGTTGCATTTCTGTTTGTGGCATATTGAAGTAGAGATCATGTTTATAGTATCAACAAATGAAGTTGTGCATAATGGCACATGCAATGACTATATATGCTTGAACACCTAATAAAAACTATCGCATGTGCATCAAAACCTGACAACATTCCTTCCAAATCCCAAAAGTTCACTCAACCACATTGTGTAGTTTTATGTGTCGATGATTGAATAACTCTTACTCAACAACATATCACCTAGATGTATTTCCACGATAATTGACTAAGTGATATCGATATTTGTGAAATGGTGTAATCAATTTATCAATATTGACATAACCTAAATGAACCAAGTAATATCTAATATGGGTTACTTCAAACTGTCTTTGCACCTCCGCCCATCTAATCACATACATATCCGCAGCAGTCCCTCCCATCCAAAGGCTACATATATGAACTGTCGATCAAATAACACTGCAACCATTACATTTTGTGAAGCAAATCCCTTACGATTATGATGATGATTTTTTAAATTATTATTGACTACTACCAGAAAATGTGTATAATATATCACTCCAATTGTATTTTTGAAGAATGAGTAAAATTATTCATTTGCACGCACCAATGAATGACAATCAATATCTATTAGATGTAAGCTTATAAATTCATCTACTAAAGACACAATAACTCACAGTACTTGATTGAAGTACAAGCTCACAGTTTTAATGAATTCTAGAAGAACTCATATAATTGTATATAGCTATGCGCATGTGCTACCTACATAAGAATATGCCTAGTTGTTTGACTGCAAGCATATCCTTCAAGTCATATAGATAACCTCAGCCTACTAGCAAGTCTCTTAAGCTTATAAATGCATCATGTGGTAACCTAAAGCACTAGTAGGCTTGTTCAAAATGACAAGATTGTACGTCCAGCATATATTAATGATCGATATATGTTCTATCAAACATTGGTTGTCAGATGGGCTCTTCCTCATTTGTCTTCTCAACTTCCTCTAGAATAGTTGATGCAACTTCTACAATGGCATTTGTGACCTGTATATGCAAATCGACCATCTCTCATAGGCCATCAGGAATAACACCACGCAAGTAGTTTGATATTGGCTAGATTAACTATAATAAAATATAATTTAATTAATAACTACTAAAAACATGTAACATTAATTCATGAGTCATAAGTCATAATATGATATAATAGAATACAACAAATTAACACCTTAAAAAAATTTATTAGCTTAAGTATGCTTACATTTGGACTTTGCTTGCAGTAGGTAATGAGAAATATATCTAACATATTTCACTATTTAAATCTCACTAGAATGAACACAATAAAATGTTATAAAGCTTTTTAAAAGAATAATCTAGGCTGCTTGTTATTAGCCAAAGTTAAAATCACTTTATAAGATTGCTTCTAATAAGCCAAAATTGATCTTAATAGGTACATATTGAATCCAAAGCTCTTAAATTTCCCTTAATTATTTAAACAAAATATGAAGAAATAGGATCATAAATAAAAAAATTTTCTAAATAATTTTTTTTTTCTAAAACAACATTTCTCCTTTCAATGACCAAATAACACAAACATCCAAAATCCTCCTGCAACAGCTCTACTTATTTGAAATGATCAA